CTTTAAGTAATCATGGCGAGTTACTATAAATGAGGGTAGATGGTAACATGTACGGAGATGTATAGGCCGTACATAATCAAACTTAAAGTGTACAAGTAGTGTGAGATGCATTCGCCTTATTTCATTTAGCTGATAAGCGGACTGGTAATAGAATTTTCCCACAACGATATGAGTAAAGCTGACGTTTCCATTAAATTTCCCATAGCCTTGCTTTCCCAAAAGTTGCTCTCATCCAGACAGGAGTGGACCGCAGGTTCGACCTCGCATTGGTTTTATCAACACCCCCAGCGGGAGTCGAACCGTGACAGTGCAGAATGTGAGCTTGACACGTTAACCACTCGACCACACTGCCATGAGTGCCCTTGGGTCACAGGGCAAATGTGCATTTAAAGGAAGGCTAGGCCCTTTTTCCATATCACATTCTTTGGTGGGATTGCCGATGAAGCAAACGTATATTTGATAGAACAATCGACTACGTTACTTATTTTTCTTAAGTAAGTAAAGTTTTGAGACTACCAGTAAATCAGTTATATGAGGTGTATTCACCCTTTATCATCTTAAACGAAATAGGGTGAATGCATTTCATATTACTGATTTACTGGTAGTTCCGAGACTCTACTTAAATACGAAATATAAGTAATGTAGTCGATTGTTATAGCAAATATACGTTTGCTTTCTTCGACAATTCCAACAAAGAATATGATATAGCAAAAGGTCTGGCCTTCCTTGAAATTTACATCTACCCTGTGACCCAAGGGCATTCGTGGCAATGTGGCCGAGTGGTTCACGTATCAAGCTCACATTCTCCATCCCCAAGTTTCGACTACCGATGGCGGTGTTGATAGGACCGATGCGGAATAGAAACTGCAGTCCAACCTGGACGAAAACAACTTTTGGGAAAGCAAGGCTCTGTGAAATTGAATGGAAACGTCAGTTATACTCATGTCATTGTGGGCAAATTATACTGCCAGTCCTTCATCACCTTAAAGCAAATAGGGTGAATAAAAATGAGCGATCATTCTTACGACCAATCCAAGTATCCAAGGAGTCAAGCGAAACGTGTTTTTACCGAAATCGAACAAGAATGTCTCGAAGGCATCGTCAAGCAGAATTTTCCTGGAAAACCCAAGCGACAACTGGCCAATAGGAATCCGCCATCGTTTTCTGGTGGGATTGACTTGTATGATTCTCTTTATTATACACCCACACTCGAGATGAAAGGGATCTTATCAAAACTTTCTTCTGCATGTTCCTACCATGTCGTGAAGATACAATGCATACATTCTCGGCTGTCTGCAAACATGCATACACTCCAAAAATAAATGTTAGTAAACGGGGCCAAATTTACACCTCGCACACACTTACAAGTACATCATCCCTGCAGATGCAGACACGTGTAGTGAAATGTATACCTTTTTAAAGTTCATACAAATCGGTGCACCACAGCAGATGACGCATATAATTTATCCTTGACGCGATCTCACGATTTCACACTGCCGCTTTTGTCGACTGTGAACGCAGGAACATCCCAGCTGAGCTCAACTATGTCTCGACCCCTCATCCAACGAGACTGGCTAGATTCACACACTCCATCCGAAGAGAATCCGCCCGAAATAATGCCATTTCGGCGAGCTTCGATCTCTTCTGCCTCCGCCGCCTCAGCACGTCGTCTTGTGCCACCACCACTCTTCCCTCACATGTTAGCCCCAGCTACCGTCACCTCAGCTGCGGTCGCTATGGCTTCCGGGGTAGACAACCAACGGGACATAATCCAGACAGACAATCAAGAAGCAGGCAGCCTGTCTGAGGTGGGTTTCGTGAGTTCTGCTACCCAGCGCCAGGTACAAAATGGCTTCTTTCTACTTTCATATCTCCAAGACATTCTCTCCTGTCGATCTTTAAGGCATAGATTTCTCCGAAAAACCGAACCCTTTCATTCCCTTTCTCCAGCCCTTGTTTTTTACTGATCTTCTCAGTCCTCTGCATCTGGTCGCTCCCCAAGATTACGCAGACTTGTTTTGAGATAAAGTAGCAACTTTGCTTCTCAAAGAGATCCCTTATGGCTGGACCAGCCATAGTTTATGCACTTGCAGGTCATTTTCATAGAAAATGTCACTAGAATCATATCTTGGTTGTCGTCAAATCTACAGAAATAGGAACTAGAAGTCCTATGCTTATTCATTTACCCGACTTCAGGAGCGTAGGTACATGGCATTAGGTTCGGACCGATAATCTATGATATTAGCCCGAATTCCAAAACACAATACGTGGGACATACTGAAACAGAACCAAGAAATCTCGACAGGTTATTGGGATGAAATTAAACGCATATTATAGACTATGAAGGCAGATGAGAGGTATTGGTGAATGGCATAATGGAAGTAGAGAACGTGAGTATTCGAGAAGACAGACAATCTGGATCATCTTGGAAAGAACAAAATTCACACTATAGCGCACAATCGAATCAACATGTTCATTAGCATTATTGCTTTTATTCTGTATAAGAATTTTTCGATGTTCATTAGACAAATTAGGTGAATTTCTTTTGCAGATTATAAGAGGCGTTAAATTGGTTATTCTTTTTACCTTTGCAGTTGTGGCAGAATCTCTCGGGCTCCATATGCAGCCTCCGTCTGCCCTGCAAAATACCTTCGGGATCAAGAAGCATTCTTGTTACAGTTTCAGGCTAGCTCCGTTTACTTAACGTCAGCTCTGAGCCTTATTAGGCACTTTGGTTTGCTTCGCCTGTTTTCACGGTTAATCGCATGAACATGAACATGTCAAATACAAGTAGTGGAAATGTGTTGATGCACTATCTCACCTTTTGGTGTGCCCAACGAAAATGCCGGGTTTCATTTATAAAATCTTTAAGCCGTATCCTAGTAACTTAATTTATTATCTGCATTTGAATAACAATTTATTGAAAAGGAGGCATGATTTTTATATCACTTTCGTTGCGCCATGCATTTATCAAATCTTAGTATCCAGGCTAGACTGTGATTTCGACTATGATTAACCCTCATCGGCCCCTCAGCAGGACTCATACTTTGGACTTATGGGCTCAGGGGCAAATACATCTCTCTCTCATCTAACCTCTTTTTATGGGACACTGGTAGCGGCAGATGACCGTGTGTTATACGTGGAATTGATACTTTACTTTTTTTGAGTCAGCTTAACCCGCTCAAGATGATATAAAGATAAGTAGTTAAATTTTTACATAATAAGAGGAGAAAACGTCGCGAGACCACTCAAATTCATCTGACTTTGCTTTAAAAAGGTCTTATCATCCAAACAGGACTGCAGCTTCGACAACGTATCGGTCTTAGCAGAACCTCCAGCGGGTGTCGAACCATGGTCATGAGGATCAAGAGATAGCATGTTGCCGTAATACCACCGCTCATGAGTAGATAATGAATGAAAATTAATGACACTCTCGGTCGTTTAAGAAGGCAAAAGTTGCTAAAGGGATTAACTTCACTCGCCTCTTTGACGAGTTGTAGTCTGGTGCTAAGATTGGCAGGACACACCGACAATGCCGATTTCGATGTCGGCTTGACGCTGAGAATAATGATAACTACTATAGCAGAGAACTTCGGCTGAAATGCGTCCAACTAGATCCCCCTGATAAAACGACTGAGTTGCGCAAATGAGGTCAAACCAATTCCATACAGAAAAATGGAGACTGCAACCAAAACAATGGTTTACATATCTACGATTAAGAATTGATAGTTTTATTGTATTACTAAAAATTCTCTCTTAGAGTATAATTAATGCCTTCGCGTGTAAAGGCACATACAAGTTTGCCTTACTAATGTTCCTACTTTACTATGGGGTTTACAAAGTGCCTGGCTTACCTTAAAGGTCGTATCTGCGCTGTCACCTACTAAGACCTGTTGCTTTGTGCCGGTTGGCAAAGTTTCACCATCTTACTCTCATGGCCCTAGTTCGAATCCCATTGATGATGCTGATGAGACTCAGGAGGGTTCGAGGTTGTAATTAAACTCGGATTAAAACGCGATTTTAAGATTGAGCGAAATACAATGGCATCGTAAGATCTATTCATTTTACTAATCAGAAATCATTTTAAGCGACAGAAGGAGACAAAGTTCTGTTGCAAGATCTATTCGTAATCTCAAAGGGATCAATCATTTTGGTACAAGACCTTTAAAACCTATCCATACCGAAAATAGGTAAAGTTTTCTAACTAGTTCAATCCAACTTTCCGTTACGTATGGAGATTTGTCTAGGGAGAATTTGTTTAGTTGGTCTCGCCGGAAACCGAAGGAGAATTACCGCGCAGTGAAGAATGTCAGATTCTGCAAAGAAGTCCTTGGCTCATTGTTTTGAAACTCTTATAAACTTATGCTAAGATTTCGCCTTTACTACCGTAAAAGACATCGTTAGGGCGAGAAACCATACTTTATGATATACCTCATCAATATACTTTTGGTATACCACTACTACTAATAACAATATAGACACTAATAATGCTAATAAAAATACTTATAACAAGATACTAATAATAAACTAATATACTGCACTGTTAATCTATTAATAATACTAATAATAGACTATTTTCTTGATTTTCTTTATTGTTGCCATTTCGTACAGTATGGTTTATTACCCTGTCATTGCTTGTCACATAACAGACGAAAGCTTAGCATGGTTCACGTCAGTCACAGGATGGTTAACCGAGGACTTCTTCGCATAATCCATCAGCCTTCACTTCACAAGTTTCTCTCAACCAACTTCTCCTTCAAAATGGAAAGTTGATTTATAATAGTCCACTAAAGGAATCTTCGGAACTTATTATTTCTTCGTATAAACATATTCGAATATTTGCCTCAGCAACAATCCTATTTTAATTTGGAGTTTTGAGAGATCTAGCTCGCTTTAAAGGTAGAATCTGCCCTATGACCCGGTGGTAACCTCGGCTGCATAGCGAATCACATTATCCAGTTTTGAATCCTGTTGAAGATGCTGATGAGGAGATAAGAGGAGTTAGAAATGGCAGTTCCGCCGAAATGAGAAAACCGTTTTCAAGGCAAGACTAAATGAAATTTAATGACATTATGAGGACAAACTCGACTATTAGTCTTTTGTTCGATTCACCTATAGTAACTAAATTTTTATAAAAGATCTGTATTGATCTGTCTAATATTTTACATTTGGTCGTCTCAAAATAAGTCAGCCCATTACCCGCTAGTAATAGCGTTTTTGATTGATACCATTGCTAGTATTGTTGTTAATTAGTTGCATCCCTGTATTCTTTACGTCATCAGATCGAAGGTTTCTGTTAATTACAAGTTTTCTCGTATCCCAAATAATCATTGTCTTCTTGTTTACTCTGACCAAAGACCAAACTATTTTGCACATTCAAACGATGTACACTTTTCTCTAATACAAGCCTACATTGTTGGTCATGCCTGACCCATTGTGCCCATTAAATGGGATCCCACATCCAAATAGCTTTAGTCTCCATAAATCAGCAATTAGGCAGGCTTGAGTTCCTTTCCGCCTCCGTCGATTATTGTCATATTTATCTGAAAATGGTATAGTCTGGATACGACTTTGAGCAAACCCTTTTGTCCCATCAATACACCCCGAATTGCAGTTTGTGAGATATACGAATTAATCCCTCTAACCACCGCAGAAGCGTTAAGAGGGTAGCGAAGACACAGCTTCTCTTGTGGAATTTCCGATTCCTTGTACAAATCCAATCCGCTGTCCACATATTGTTCTGGATACTGGCATCTCATGCAGTAGCCGATGCTGAATAGGTGAAATTTCATATACTGACTTACCTATCAAATGTATCCCCATGATTCGTCTGAAAATTCGCCGGGATGCACCTTCCTTTAGTCACCTATCTACAAACTATTTTGCTCCGGAAGATATAAATTCACTGACCTTCTTCTATCATTCCTGAAGTGCTTACTTTGAAGCTCTCCAATAGTGCCGGGCTTTCCCCATTTCGCTCTAATTATTTCTGCCAGTCACTCATCTCTTTTTTGCTGTACATTTGCTTCGAAAATATGTTTAGGAAATAACCAACAATAAAAAGAATTTTGTTGACCTCAATCGACTTATATTTTATATGTATTCTAGTTGTCAATATTACTTTAAACCACATATGTGTTGCACAAACTTTGTTTACCACCTCGTCTAACACAATATCTTCACCGAACTCTCTAGTTGGTTATTGGTGCGGAAGTGGGAATTTGAAATGTTTCAAACACACTATCTATACATGCCTCGCAAATTAGTTTGTCAAAAACCCCTTTATGGAGGAGTGTTTTATCATTTTGCTGAGAGTCCACACAACTTTAGTGGATATCCTTTACTTGTAGCTCGAATGCGTAGCAAATGTATGGTGATTTGAGCAGCTTTTATGCTCTGATTTTGTGTGGAAGAAAGTCGTGAGTCACATGAATCAGTGGCTTTTCATATAATCAGTTATTATTGAATAAAAACATTGCTAATTTAGAAGTTGTTCAACCTTGCTTTCGCAACTTAGTGATATTAATAGTAAGACTCAGAGAAACACACCTAGTTCAGAGTCCATTGTATGCATAATACTTTCCAAAGTCGGACCCTGGACGTGGTACATTCCCAGACGTTTCGCCGGCATTATCAGTGGGCATTGCCAGTCTTAGCACCACAGAACAACTCGCCAAAGAGACAAGTAAAGCCGATCCCTTGACCAGTTGTGGTATCTCCCCCTCTGCCGTGGGCTATTCACATTTCCTATATCGTCATATCACGCCTTCACTATCACAATTTTTTTACTATGCCTATTTCGATGTAGTGTGGTGTGCTCCTTCGAGCGGCATTCACGAAAACCCTTCACACTTCACGCTGTCGTAATCACCCGCTTCACCCTTGTGCTGGGAATGTTGACAAGAGTCTGCTATATTCTTACGCAGTCCTCCTTCCCTAGGTCTTACCACAGTCTTGCGTAGAATCCGTCTGCTCTCTCGATCCCTGCCACCCCATCTGTGCTACTCGAGGCATTATTCGCCCTCCCCTTCGTCTGGGTGAGTAATTCGACGCGCAAGTCTCTGAGTGTCATGGTCACCACCCCTTTGCTACATGTACCACGTCTGTGGTACAACAGACCTACCATCAGCGAACTAGCTCCATTCTCCGCCGCGTCATAGACTTGGTATTCGGGATAGAAAGAGGATAAAAGCAGTGGGCTAACAATAGTTGCCATTCAAGGATCACGTCCATGATCAAATACGTCTATTGTTAGCCAAATAGCTTAAGTATACAAGACGTCTAACCTACTTCGATCTGTAATACCATGTCTATCACTTCCTACGTCCTAGACTCTTGTGTGCCAATCCACAATTGTTGTGGTTCTACTTGTTTTGATTAGGCTCCCTGAAGACGTCTCCTCTTTGCTTCCGATTCTTCCTTTTTTG